AGATCACTTAGAATTTGGCCTCTATTGTCTACTAGCAATTTTATAGTTTTGTGTTTTATGTTTAGGTTTTTGATACATTTGAGGATAATTTTTGTGAAAGATAGAAGATCTGTGTCTAGATTAATGTGTGTGTGTGTGTGTATGTCCAGTGTGTTAAAAAAAACTATCCTTTCCCGATTGAACTGCTTTTGTTCCTTTGTCAAAAGTCAGTTAACATATTTGTGTGAGTCTATTTCTGAGCTCCATTATGTGCCATGATCTATTTGTCTATTCTTTCACTAATACCACTGTCTTGTTTATTGCAGTTTTTTAGTAAGTCTTTTTTTTTTTTTTATAGTAAGTCTTGAAGTCTGGTTGTATCACCACTGACTTTGTTCTCTTATAATATTGTGTGTGTTTAGTACAAGTTTTTCTACTAAGATGAGTTATTTTGTTGAGTAAATGAATGATAACAGTAATAATAATAATAATGTTTAATACAGCTTATCTCATTTGACCCTCTAACAACTCTACATGATATGCAATGTGATTTTATCTGCCCATGGCTCTATCTATGGGTCAGTCCATCTATTCTATTATTGACACTCAAGCCCAAAATCATACCCAAGGGCAGATATATACTAAATGAAATGCTCGGATTGAGACTCTGGCTCTGTCACCTTAGCCAGCACCATACCATCTCCCATATTTACAGATAAATGTATTTATATAAGACTCCAGATGGGGGAGAGAGAGAAATAGATATTATCTAGATCAGAGCCAAGATTTTGGTTTCAAACTACTTTAGGGCTGGAGGAAAAACAGACAACAAAGCCTAATTCCTCCCACGTTGTCTGCCAGGTGTTCATCCACCTGCAAGAGCCTTCACAGGCAGTTCTGCTTCTCCTGTGTCTTTTCTAGTTACTTCTTGTATATGACGTTTCCAAAGTGGTGATCAAATTAATGTAATAATAATTTAAAATTGTGTGTAGTTTTCTTCTCTTCTTGCTCAATGCCACAACTCATTCTATTCCTCTTGCCTGTTTCTGGAGACAGAAGAATACTGCCTTCACAGTGAGCCATGTTTTTTTTTTATTGTCTTCCAAGATACTTAGGTGGGCCCTTTTGGTTGAAGGCTTACACTGCAATATGTGAAAACAGGTAGAGGCAGCGTGAGGGAATTACTAAGCTTGCAGAGTCCTTCAGTCCTGGAACCTGGGCTGGGTCATTTATGAAGTTTTCTGGTCTCCATTTTTAGGTGGAGCTTCCCTTATCAGGGAAGGTTGCCCAGGCTGTTCCAGAATCATTCCATTTCTTTTTTTTTTTTTTTAAGATTTTATTTATTTATTTGACAGAGAGACAGAGAGAGAGCACAAGTAGGCAGAGTGGCAGGCAGAGGGAGAGGGAGAGGCAGGCTCTCGCTGAGCAGGGAGCTCAATGCAGGGCTCAATCCCAGGACCCCAGGATCATGACCTGAGCCGAAGGCAGACGCTTAACCGACTGAGCCACCCAGGTGCCCTGAAACATAAGTTTCTAATATACATATTAGCACACACACATACACATATATATGCTAATGGGAAG